TTTAACAAGTAAACAAACCTAATTTAATTTTAATTACTAAGAGGCACTGTTGGTGTCATAGCTGTCACTTAAATGAATATTTGATTGAACTCTTACAGATAACACACATGGACCAGACTTTGAATCGCATTGTGGAGTCCCTCGCATATCTGCTGGAACAGAAGGATGCTGGTGGCGACGGTGGGGGCGGGTCAAGGCTCGGACCAACCTGTAACGTCCTCCCCAGCCAGGACAGCCTGCCAAGCTATGACCAGCTATCTTCACCCTCTTTGTATGCCTCCTCCAACACCGCCAGCACAGTGGTCTGCCCCAACCCGCCCCCGAGCACCACTGGCAGTCAGGATGAGAGCTGATGAAACCAATAAGCAAACACCAAGTTTTTCTTCTTTTAGTATAATATAAGATATTTATGATGAATGTCCCAGCAGACCATGGGGAATATGGACATCTATGAGAGAAAAACAATAATTCAACACTGCAATATCTCTTAAAGATTGCTATTAGATCTTTGTAATTGCCAGGTTTGAGTATTGTACTTAACATTTATTCAGGTTAATGCCAAAAACCCTGCAACTTCAACCTTCATTCTTCCTGTTTAGCATATGCATATGTAGAAATTATAATAATTTGCCGTAACTTTATTACTCTTAGGGGCCTTACATTTCTATATATCACTTGAAAATCCCAAATGAAAGGCTGTTTTCACTGTTTTCCACTTTTTCACTTTTTTGTTAATGTGAAGATTTCCTTTCTCTTTTGACAATAAAATAATGCAGTAATCATAATCATGCCTGTGTGATGTGAAGCAAAAAACTTTCAATGGTTCATGTTTTTATGAGCCAATCCTGTTACAGTCTGAGTTACTTTTTTTCTCAAGCATTATCCTGCAATAGCATATGATTTATTTCAGTAAATCGTTTGATTAGGTAGAGGATCAACAGGGGGTTCTCGCCCCCTTGGGGGACACACCCCTAGGACTTAAATATGGGGCTCTCCACCCTTTGACCTTATAACTGAAGAAGCTTCTTGAATGAGAGGTCAAACATCTTCAAGCAACTTGAAGAAGTCCAGACGCTTTTCTTTCCAAGCTCTTTAGACTATGTCAGTAGTCTCTCTTCCCCCCAGTGGATGGTAATGGTACTTCAGGTGGGCTGTTGTTGAAAGTGAATTTGTATG